CGCTAGACGAAAGCACTAGCCGAGGTGTGTGGTAACTACAAGTCGAACGCAGACACTGATAGGCCAAGAGCGGTTTAAAAGACTACCAACAATCTCCCAAACAACGCATCGCTGCATTATGATTTTGTCCACACGGCGTTAAGTTACTAGCCTGACTCCAGGCGGGGCGTCCCTGGAGGGGCGGGAGGGGCACAAAACCGTGTAAATAGTATGTATGCCGATACCCTCCTCGCTCAGGCGGGGCCTCCCTGGAGGGGCGGGGGGGCCACGAAACGTGGTAAATAGTATGGTATGCCGATACCCTCCTCGCTCAGGCGGGGCCTCCCTGGAGGGGCGGGAGGGGCACGACACCTGGTAAATAGTATGGTATGCCGATGCCCTCCTCGCTCAGGCGGGGCCTCCCTGGAGGGGCGGGAGGGGCACGAAACCGTGTAAATAGTGTGGTATGCCGATACCCTCCTCGTTCAGGCCTCCTTGGAGGGGCGGGAGGGCACGAAACCTCCCCCTCCTCGCTCAGGCGGGCCTCCCTGGAGGGGTGGGGGGGCACGAAACCGTGTAAATAGTATGGTATGCCGATACCCTCCTCGTTCAGGCGGGGCCTCCCTGGAGAGGCGGGAGGGGCACGAAACGAGGTAAATAGTATGGTATGCCGATACCCTCCTCGCTCAGGCGGGGCCTCCCTGGAGGGGCGGGGGGGGCACGAAACTTGGTGAATAGTATGGTATGCCGGTACCCTCCTCGCTCAGGCGGGGCCTCCCTGGAGGGGTAGGAGGGGCACGAAACCGTGTAAATAGTGCGGTATGCCGATACCTTCCTCGTTCAGGCGGGGCCTCCCTGGAGAGGCGGGAGGGGCACGAAACCTTGTAAATAGTATGGTATGCCGATGCCCTCCTCGCTCAGGCGGGACCTCCCTGGAGGGGCGGGGGGCGCACGAAACCTGGGAAATAGTATGGTATGCCGATGCCCTCCTCGCTCAGGCGGGGCCTCCCTGGAGGGGTAGGAGGGGCACGAAACCTGGTAAATAGTATGGTATGCCGATACCCTCCTCGCTCTGGCGGGGCCTCCCTGGAGGGGTGGGAGGGGCACGTAGCGTGATAGTATGGTATGGCATGGTATAGTTTAGTATGGTATGTTATGGCATGGTATAGTATGATATTGTTTAGTATGTTATGGTATGGTATAGTTAGGTTTGGTATAGTTTAGTATGGTATTGGTATTGGTGTGGATGGTATGGTATGGTATGGTATAGTTGAGTATGGTATGTTATGGTATGGTATGTTATTGTATAGTTTAGTACGTTATGGTATGGCATCAAGGAAATGGTTCCCACGAAACCGTTAATCTCTTTATGTGGGGAACTCCGTTAGCATAATTTTCCTCGTGAGGTCCGATTCGTGAGGTTGGTCTGAGTGGTCTCATTTTCCTCGTCCAGTCGAGGTTATACAAGAGGGTGGGCGACACGAGTTCGCTAGACGAAAGCACTAGCCGAGGTGTGTGGCAACTGCAATTCGAACGCAGACACTGATAGGTCAAGAGCGGTTTAAAAGACTACCATCAATCTCCCAAACAATGGATCGTTGCATTATGATTTTGTCCACATGGCGTTAACCTACTAGCCTGACTCCAGGCGGGGCGTCCCTGGAGGGGCGGGAGGGGCACAAAACCGTGTAAATAGTATGTATGCCGATACCCTCCTCGCTCAGGCGGGGCCTCCCTGGAGGGGCGGGGGGGCCACGAAACCTGGTAAATAGTATGGTATGCCGATACCCTCCTCGCTCAGGCGGGGCCTCCCTGGAGGGGCGGGAGGGGCACGACACCTGGTAAATAGTATGGTATGCCGATGCCCTCCTCGCTCAGGCGGGGCCTCCCTGGAGGGGCGGGAGGGGCACGAAACCGTGTAAATAGTGCGGTATGCCGATACCCTCCTCGTTCAGGCGGGGCCTCCCTGGAGGGGCGGGAGGGCCACGAAACCTTGTAAATAGTATGGTTTGCCGATGCCCTCCTCGCTCAAGCGGGACCTCCCTTGAGGGGTGTGAGGGGTACGAAACTTGGTAAATAGTATGGTATGCCGATGCCCTCCTCGCTCAGGCGGGGCCTCCCTGGAGGGGTGGGGGGGGCACGAAACCGTGTAAATAGTATGGTATGCCGATACCTTCCTCGTTCAGGCGGGGCCTCCCTGGAGAGGCGGGAGGGCCACGAAACTTGGTAAATAGTATGGTATGCCGATACCCTCCTCGCTCAGGCGGGGCCTCCCTGGAGGGGCGGGGGGGGCACGAAACTTGGTGAATGGTATGGTATGCCGGTACCCTCCTCGCTCAGGCGGGGCCTCCCTGGAGGGGTAGGAGGGGCACGAAACCGTGTAAATAGTATGGTATGCCGATACCTTCCTCGTTCAGGCGGGGCCTCCCTGGAGAGGCGGGAGGTGCACGAAACTTGGTAAATAGTATGGTATGCCGATGCCCTCCTCGCTCAGGCGGGGCCTCCCTGGAGGGGCGGGGGGCGCACGAAACCTGGTAAATAGTATGGTATGCCGATGCCCTCCTCGCTCAGGCGGGGCCTCCCTGAAGGGGTAGGAGGGGCACGACACCTGGTGAATAGTATGGTCTGCCGATACCCTCCTCGCTCTGGCGGGGCCTCCCTGGAGGGGTGGGAGGGGCACGTAGCGTGATAGTATGGTATGGCATGGTATAATTTAGTATGGTATGTTATGGTATGGTATAGTATGATATAGTTTAGTATGTTATGGTATAGTTAAGTTTGGTATAGTTTAGTATGGTATTGGTATTGGTATGGATGGGATGGTATGGTATGGTATAGTTTTGTATGGTATGTTATGGTATGGTATATTATGGTATAGCTTGGTATGCTATGGTATGGTATAGTTCAGTTTTGTATATTTTAGTATCATATC